TGGTCGACGGGACCATCACAAGAGTTCTTCTTTAACAAGAGGGGAGTCCCTCATAAAGCTCATAGGCCTAAGACTTATGTACCGCCTGCTGATGCTCATATCAAAGAGTGGTGTGGACCTTTGGGAAGGTTAGCTATTGAGAAAGGGAAATGCAAGAAAATCAAAGTTGGTGGGGGATCTTCTTACCTTAACAATTCCCAGACTTCCAAGAAATACTCCTATGTTTCAAAAAACTACATGGAGGAGAAGCCCATGACCCGCACTCAATGGAAAACGCACCAAAGAAACAAAAAAAAACTTCCTTTGAAGTTGGAAGTGTGAGTAAGAACACCACTGTCCAGGTTATAGCTGATGGACCAAACGCAAAAAATCCTGTAAAACAAAGGTTGTTTCCTCCGCTACCACCATAGGTCAAAAATGAATCTAAAGTTTCCATCGGGTCGGACAAGGATATAGCTAGAAACAACTTGGATATTGGGTCAGAGGGCGATTTGGATATCATATGTAGTATGATATTAGTGCTGCCATCGAAATATGATACAATTACTGGGGCAACTAAAGAGGATGATGAATTGGCCAAAGAAATGGCTATCCAGAAGCCTTTATGTTATTATGTGATGCATGATGGCCTAGTCAACAAGGACAAGGACATATTCAAAAGGCCTGACATGTCGATGCAACAACATCTAAAGCCTTTATATATAAGGAACAAAGTAGAAGGTGTCGGGGTTAACAAGGTTCTTATTGATTGTGGAGCCTGCATCAATGTCATGCCACATTCCCTACTCAAGAGGATTGACAAGTATAACACCTACTTAAAGTCTAACAACATGGTCTTATCCAATTATGAAAGAAATACAAGTAGACCCTTGGGTGTAATTCAAGTGGATGTGGTTGTAAGGACCATAACTCAACCTACGTTATTTGTTGTAATTCCATCCAAATAAAATTACAAATTGCTCTTGGGTCAAGAATTGATCCATGGAGTTCGGTGTGTCTCGTCCTCCATGCACCAAAGAATAACGATATGGAAGCTGGACGGGATCGTAGAGCACATAGAGTCTGATCAAAGATTTTTGTGTAGAAGTGAATCATGTCAACAAGAAGAATTTTGATCGGCAATTGGCAAATATTTCACCATGTTTACCGGCAGGAACTGACTTTGATTTTAAGGGAGTCGGTGTATATTACTCTGTTAAGCTACACCCTTTGCATGGCTTTACTTGGGAGTTTGAGACCATTGGTAGACATAATAAATGGTCTAGATCAAGCGATGGAGATGTATGTGAAAATAAATTAATATCGGCCTTAGAGGCCAAATAAAAAGAAATGATGGCTATCGAAGCCACCCAGTTTGGAAATGTTAAATTTGGCTAGAATGGCCAAGAAATAGATTCAGAAAAGCGCATGCTCGACTGTATTTATGATGATGAGCCCTTTGGGTTTGAGAAAGACTCACTTACTTCGACCAAAAAGATGCAAGCTCAGGATCCTTTGGAAGAAATTGATCTGGGGGACGAGTTGACTAAAAGGATAACTTACATAAGTGTCAAACCTGACCCAACCTTAAAAGCATGAGTAATTGAGACATTGAAGGAGTTCAAGGATTGGTTCGCATGGGATTACAATGAGATGTTGGGTCTTAGATGGGAATTGGTAGAGTTGAAACTGCTAATCAAGCCTAACAAGAAGTCTGTAAAACAAATTATAAGGAGGTTAACGCCAAAGGTTATATAAAAAATCAAGGCAGAAATTGAAAGATTGTTGTGAAACATGTTCAAAAGACATGCAAGGTACGTCGAATGGTTAGCCAACATTGTTCCAGTAGTTAAAATGAATGGAAATCCTAAGGTATGTATTGACTTTAGGGATTTGAATGCAACCACACCAAAGGACGAATATCCAATGTCAGTGGCAGATATGCTAGTCGACTTGGCAACTAGTTTTAAGTATTTAAGTCTTTTAGATGGTTACTCAGGTTATAACCAAATTTTTATTGTAGAGTAATATGTGTCTAAGACAAGTTTTCGATGTCCTAGAGCCTTGTGCATTTAGAATGGGTAGTGATTCCTTTTGGACTCAAAAATGTTGGTGCAACCTGTCGTACCTCAAAAAATACGATCCTCGCGATGGACGCAGAAAAAACATTCAACAGATTCGCCACCAAACTTTATTCATTCCAAGGAAGGAATAGGAAAATATCGATAAAACCTTTAAAGAGATAAGAACATGATCATCGCAACCAAATTCTAGGTTCAAGAGTCGATTACGCAAGAGGGAAGGTATTAGCACCCTCTATGTCTGTTGTACTCAACGGGAACCTCTTGATTCGATTCATGAGAGAAGTTAGCTAAGTTTGTTTATCTTCTTAAAGGATTCGCTTCTAACGGAAAATGAGTGGTTTTTATTAGGGTGCTCGTCAAGGATTGAGGCCCTTGTGCCTACGTACTCCCTTGTGCAATGGGAAAGTCAGAACATCGTAGTTCGTGGGACTACGGGTAAGGATTGGTGTATTTTATGAACGAGTGTTTAAATCACATTCTAACTGCTAAACATTGGCTTGTCTGCTCGCTAGGGGAGGCTGAAGCAATAGTTCATATGCGCGGAAGAAGGGATTAAACAATGTTCTTTTTAGAAAAAGTTTTAATCGCACATCGGTGAGAAGTTGGATTAATGTGTTTGTGTTTTGATTAGATGGCGATCACTCGAAGCTTAAGAAAGGCTCCTCGGGCCCAAGTGATTGGGAAAGTGAATCGAAGATTTGACTCTCTATCTTTTTCAACCTTAGTTGTGAAAGGATTTTGATATAGTTAGAGTAGTTTATGAATGACGATTGCTCGAGACTTAAGAAAGGCTCGTCGGGCCCAAGTAATCGGGAGAGTGAGTCAAAGACTTGACTCTCTCTCTTTTTAATTTAGGTATTAGGGAAATAGTTTTTGATTTCGCTTATCATAAAAATAGTTTGACATAGAGTTGCGTTGTAAAGTTTTTTAGAGAAGACAATTATTTGTACTTAAGAGAGGCTCATCGAGCCCAAACAATCGAGGAGAGGAATCAAAGACTCCATTCCAACTCCCTTTTCATCTTTTTTATAGAAATTGTATTTAAGTATAGTTAAGTATATTAAGTTTACTTTGATAAAATGCTCGATGTGGATCGAGGTTTGAATTTGCGTACGAAACAAATAAGGTTGAACTAATGGAAAGGAGATCCTATGGGTATAGGGTAAGGTCGATGGCGAGGCAAAAACACTCGACTTACAAAGAGGTAAGAGGACTTGATATGTGGATCAAGTGTGCTTGAGAAGTTAGTAGTTAATTACATTTGTTTTGAAAAAACATGACGTTGGATCAAGTTTATTTGTTTCTTTGAAGAGAATTGATTTTAATCTTATAAACCAATCACTCAACCAAACATGCATGTGAAGTGTGAAACGAGCATCGTTGTACAAAGCCTAAGAGGAGGCTATAAGTTCGATGGTGATCGTGAAAACAATAGACTTACAAGGTATTTGGAAATGATTTGATTTGGGAATCAATGTATTAATTCAAAAAATATGGTTTGCACAAGCAAGTATGGAATGACCTAAATATAATCGAGGCGTGATGAAGTACATACTAGCAAAGTGTAAACATCATACAAGCAATCATAAGCTAGGTGAGGAAGGAAAGATATTAGTCAAGACACATTAACTAGTAACCTAATTATCTAAGGTTTAACTAAAGGTAAAAAGAGGGAAATCACAAATTAATTGTTTTTTATTTTTTAGAATTTTAGAATTAAAGTAGTGAAGTAACTAAAATAATTAATCGAATTAAACTTAAATATTTAATAAAATTAACTATTTACGTTAATCAATATTAAATAAAAATGTTTAATAAAATTAAACATGATTTGCTAATAAAATGTTCACAAATAAAATATTTGAAAATAAAATATTTGGGCATAAAATAAAATATTTAAAAATACAATATTTTGGATTTTTGATAGGAAAATTAAATAATGTAATTAATCAAGTTAAAATCAAATACTTACTAAAACTGATTATTAAATTATTTAGTTAATATTAAATGAAGGATCTTAATAAAAATTAATAATAAAATAAATTTGGGACATTTCTAAAAAAAGGAAAATGATTAATAATGGGTTTTTCTTAATTAAAATATTGTATAAAACAAAATAATAATAATAATAATAATAATAATAATAATAATAATAATAATAATAATAATAATAATAATAACTAACTAAAATAAAATACATAATCTAAAATACAAAAGAAATGGGCCAGATCTTGAACAAAAAAGGGGAGGGGTGATTATCAGAATCTCGTAGGCCCAATAGGTTGAGGCCCAGCGTAGGAGAGGGTATATGGTAAACCCTCAAGTCAACAACCGGGTCTGGGCCGTTTGATCAGGCTAAGGAGTCAGTTTGTCTCCAAATCCATGGGTTGAGAGGGTAGGGTGCATGGTAAGGGCATGTGAACCGCACACATGATCAAGATAGGGGAGCATCCCCTAGTGACACTTGTCAAGGGAGGGACAAGTGTCACCCGATCTATTCGCCACCTAGATGCGTAAAAATTGACTGGCAGATGAAACAAAATGGGGAAACGAGTCTTCTCCAGCATTCTCCACTCAAATCTCAATCCCTCCCTCTCTCTCTCTCTCTCTCTCTGATCAACAACTCAAAGCCTCTCTCTCCTCTCTCTGCAACTAGCACCCAACAGAACGCTAAACCCGCCAGAGTAGACGGCGACACGCGGTGGCCGCCGCCGTCCTTTTCCAGTTACCTTACGAAAACCTCTATCCTACCTAAACCAGAACTATCAAACTCAAATCTGAGACCGATTCTCTTAAAATCTCACTCAAAAGTTCCAACTCAGACCCACATGAAGAAACCCTAGATCTACTAAATAGTGGACCAATCGAGAAATTTCAAGAGGGGAATCACGTAATAAAGCGGGATAAACAACGATTAAGCATCAAAACACGTTATAGATGAGGATCTTTACCAAATCGGAGAGAAAACTCAAGTTTAAGATTCCAGCGAAGGTAAGGTTTCAGCTTTCTTCTTCTTTCTTTCTTTCACCTTTGTTTCTTTTCTATATTACGTTTTACTGCTTCTCCTTTCTTTAAAATGATAGTGGCATTGGGGTTTTAGCTCCTACAATCTTGAGTCTCAATGTGAGACTCAAGGATGTTTCTGAAATGAGCTTTTTGCTAGCTCCTACAATCTTTAGGGTTTCCTTTGTAGTCTCCTTCATGAGTGAATAATATTGGTTTATATAGTGAGGAATTCTTATACGTGTGACAAATGAGGCTTGTGTGAGGTTGTTAGAGAATTGAGGTGAGGTGGGTTTCTGAGAATTATGTCGTTAGAGTTGTGCATTGTACTACCCTGATTTCAAGGGATTATCATGTGTGAATCATTCTCTTTGCTGCAAAATTTCGTTTATCCTTTTGTGAATTTTAGATTAATTGAGATTGTGTGGTCCCTGTTTTGAAAATTTCCTTACTGTGAAATACTTATTTCTTGTGATTTGAAAATGATGTCCTTTTGTGGTATTTGTATGTTGTTAGTTTTCTGCTGTGAACCATGTGTTCCAATTTTTGCATCTGCTGCTACTATGTGTTCTGAACCTGTGAATTTAGTTGAGGCTCTTTACATAACCTGCACTTGGAATTGCTTTGTGTTGTACATGAATGCCTTCAAACTATGTTGGTTTAATGTTATGCCCTACTGGTTATTTACACATTGTACTAATCTTTCTTGTTTCGTTTTCCTTTCATGGTGCATTGGTTTGAAGCATTTGGATTGGTACAAGGTTGGATGGCATATGGCTCAGAATGAAGACCAGGGTACTCTCAACGCATTCATGAAGAACTCGGGGAAAAATTTGAACATGAAGGCATGAAGAAGTTTTGACATTTTGTCATAAAGATTTTACTATAGAATTATCCTTAGGCATTCTAATACTTAGGTGTTATTTTGATCTCATAAAACTTGTAATTCTTTGATTCAGATGACATGCTTTGTATGTTTGGATCAAATTGGAATGGTGTCTTGGTTTAGGACTAGCTTGAGCTTTTTATCAATTGACATTTGAATGAAATTTTTGAATCAAGTTGAATCTTTGTAATTTAAACCTTGTAGCATTTGTAAATCAATTTGAACTTCTATGATAGAAACTTTTCCTGGTTTTCTCCTTCCAAAATGACAAGTTCTCACTTGAAGCTAATTAATATCATCTTTCTTCTAACTCGTGAGATATGTCTTGAAGAATAATCCTTAAATGGTTAGATTTCCAAGTATAATTGATGATGGTGAAATGGTATCCACATTTATGAAATAACATTTGGTAGCTTAACATCCATTTCCAAACATAACTTATATGCTCTAATCATGATTCCAAAATGACTTGGTTTCATTTTAATCACTTAATCGTGAACCTTGAGACAAAATGGGAATTGGATCATTAATTGCAATAAACTCACATCATACCTTGGACTATTTTTCAATCACAACTTAAATTAACGGGCATTTTGATCACATAAAGGTCATGGCATGAGATCATTGACGCCCAACTTGCATGTGTCCCAAAATTACCACTTCTTTTGAATCAATTGGATGTTTGAACTAAACACAACCTTAAAAAAAGCTAGCCATAATGCTTGAGCAATTGTTACCGTCTTGAAATTTGATCTTGAGGATGAGGGCATGTTCTTCATTTATCTCCACTTGAAATCAAATATTTTGGCAGGAGCTTACAATCACCATAAGCACACAAAACCCTTATGACCCAAAAATTTTCAGAGGATCGTGGCCAAAGGCCAGATGATAGTCTAGAAAGAAAATTTATCAAGCTACACAATTATCTGTTATAAAAAGTAAAAAGGGAGGACAAATTTGGGGTATGACACAACCTATCAAAGGGTAATGAATTCTATGTTTCATGATTTCATTGAGACATTTATGCAGGTTTATATAGATGACATAGTTATTAAATCCTCATAACAAAGTGGCCATCTTGACCACCTTCGTTGGTCCTTTGAAATGATGAAGAAATATGGATTGAAAATGAATCCATTAAAATGTGTGTTATGTGTATGTGCAGGTGATTTCTTAGATTTCTTGGTACATAAAAAAGGAACTGAGATAAATCACAATAAAATGAAAGATATACTTAATACGAAGTCTCCGACAACCAAGAAGCAACTACAATCTCTACTTGGAAAACCCAACTTCTTGAGAAGGTTTATTTTGAAACTAAGCGGAAAGACAAAGGTATTCTTATTGCTGCTTTGTTTGAAAAGGGAGGAAGGTTTTAGATGGGAAACAAAACATCATAGAGTACCTGTCAAGCCTTCTGTGTTGTTACCCTTTATAAAAAATAAGAGCATGAAATTGTATATTTTTGCGTCAAATTTGACAATATGCAGTGTGTTAGCCCATGAAGATGATGATGGCATCGAAAGAGCCATATATTATCTTAGTCGATTGTTAATTGATGCTGAAACTAGGTATAGCTTGATAGAAAAATTATGCCTATCTTTGTATTTTTCATGTATGAAGTTGAAATACTATATAAAATTAACGGATGTGTTTGTTTACTCACACTTTGATGTTATAAAATATATGTTGTCGAAGCCATTTCTACATAGTAGAATAGGAAAATGGGCTTTGGCCCAAACAAAACATTCTTTACATATGCACCGTTAAGATCCATGAAAGGTCAAGTCATTGCAGATTTCATAGTAGATCACGCAATAATGGAGGTAATGCAAAATTAAGTCGAGCATTCAGCTTGGAAGTTATACTTTGACAGTTTTAGTCACACTAAAGGAAATGGTGTTGGGATCTTAATTATCACCCCTCAGGGAATTCCAACCAAGTACAAATTCAAAATGAACGACCGTTACTCCAATAATGAGGTTGAATATGAAGCTTTAATAAATGGCTTTTCTATCTTGTTCAACTTGGGGGCAACAAGAGTCAAGATTAAGGGAGATTTGGAGCTAGTGTTGAGGCAATTGACAAAGGAATATATAAACATTAACGATAATCTACTGATGCATTTTGTCAAAGCTAACTCATTGTTGAAGAAGTTTGACATGGTTGACATTAAACATGTGCCAAGAATGGAAAATCATAAGGCCAATGATTTGGCCCACATTGCTTTAGGGTATCGAGTGTCTAAAAAAAATTGAAAGAGTTGATCGAGGTCAGAGACAAGTTGATCTCGAAAAGTGTATTAGATCCGGAATTGTTAAAGACGAAACTGGTAGGGGTGGAAGAATTGGAAGACCTAAATCCCAAAATTTTCAAAACTTTCGCCATTGACAATTTTTCAAACAATGATTGGAGGAAATCAATCATAGATTTCCTGAAAGATCCAATGGGAACAACAAATAGAAATATTGTATATATGCATTAAGTTACTTAATCATGGGTAATGAGTTGTTCAAAATACTCCTAAAGGAGTTTTATTTAAATGCCTTAGCGATAGTGAAGCCTATCTGACAATATTTAGTGCACATAGTGGATAATGTGGTGCCCATCAAGTAGGCCACAAAATGAAGTCGTTATTATTTTGACAAGGTGTCTACTGGCCTACCTTGTTGAAAGACTACATAGAATTTGCTAAAGAGTGTCAGGAATGTCAAAAGCACGCAGGAATTCAGCATGTCCCAGCCAATGAGCTACATGCAATTACCATACCCTCAAACTTGAATCATTATTTATCCTTAGGTGATGTGACAAATAACCCTTTAGAACAAAAACAAAGTCAAATGCCAAAATATTTCATAAATCAAATACTTTTTTTTGACTCAGTAGGACTATATCCGGTACTGGCACAACTTAGCAAATGACTAATGTTGATTCTTTCATTCCACACACGTGTGTGTGTGTGTGTGTGTGTGTGTTCAGAGATGAATCTTGTCATGCTAGATGTTTTCATTAAGGGAGTGGTTTAACAATTGGGTTGGTCAGATTCTCCTATAATCCTAGGGTTTCTTCTCATACATTTAGAGATGAATATCCTAATTAGGGGCTTTTAAAATATAGATATTTGGGGTCTACTACACTACTTACATTTCTCTTTTTATTGGATACCTTATTTGGATCTTTCTTTTGATGAGTCCAATTTGTTTCTAAGAGTGAGGCACCCATAATTCCTCCAGTTTCAGGCACATGAATTCGTTCCTCCAGTTTCAAGCACATGATTTTTATTGACATTTTTTTCATAATGCATTAGTAAATGTAGTAGCCCCTCTAATGTTATCCCTTTCACTAGTTTTCCCTTTTTCTAAGTCCTTCAGTCTCCCTTTTCTCAAACTCAAAGTTAACAAAATAAATAGTAAATTAAAAGATGATTAGATAAGATTTCTTAAACAAGCTAAGAAAATTCATGACAGAAGCTGCCACTCCCCCTAACATAGAGTGAAGACAGGGTCCTCACTATCATTAGGTGGGTGTGGCAGACCACGACATGCCAATCTAGCTGTCAGCTTAAAAGAGTTGGAAATAATACCATCTAGGCATGAAGCCTGCTTCTTTTCCTCTTTGGGGCCTGCATTTCTTCTGCTCTCTTTCTTTTCTTGTCCTCCTCAACTTCCTTGGTCTTCTCATCCATATTCTCCACTAGCCTTTAGTAAGAGTCTTCTACTTCTTGCAACCCATACACCATGGATATGGTGGATTTGAAATATTGCACCTTTGTTCCTCTCACGATCACTTCACACCTCTTGTTGTCGGTGAGGTTGGAGTAAAACTCCTTCACCACTTGCATATTATAAGCCTTTGGGTGCTTGCAGAATTTCTTCCACTTGTGCCCTATGATGACCCAACCGATCTCTTCTAGAATGCCTAAATCTTCATCTTCAAGGTTAAAGATAAAAACCCTTTCGAAGTGAGTGTTTTTTTGAAGAGAAATATTGATAAACCTTTGCTTCACATATATGTTGATTAAAGTCTCCCCTTTAGAACCTTCAGAATCAGAATTATCCATATAGGATGTGGCGTTTTTGCGAGCGCTTATATTGATTCTATTGCTAGTGTATTTTAGTTCCGTGGCGAGGTTTGAGAGAGGATGAATTACCGAGCTTTGGTTGCTTTTGAGAGAGAGAGAGAGAGAAAGAGTTATGAACAAAAGGAAATTCAAAATCGGTTTACAGGGTTAGGAAAAAGGGTAACGGCTAGGTTAAAACACGAGAATCCTAAAAAGTAACCGTTAGGTAACTTGCTTCAGAAGTTGTGCAGTAACTGCTCTGCTGACGTGTCACGATTGCGTTAGACATAGACATAGCATGTGCGTGCCTCAATGATAACTGTCTACTGCACACCTACCCATCATCTCTCTCTTTTCCCTTTCCTTTCTTGGCCAAACCAATTCAAATTCAAATTTTCCATCAATCTTTTTTTCCACTTTTTCATGTAATTGCATTCAGCTCACTTTTTGATACTTTTCACAATCGTGACATAGTTGGTCAGATCCTTCCTTAATTATTTCTTCTACACTAATCATCTGAAAAAAATAAAATTTAAAAACAAGGATTTCATTAAGCTGGGTTGCCCCCCCCAGTAGTGCTATTTTTGAGTTTTATAGTCTGACTTAATCACAAAAATAATCATCAAAATTTATGGTAACCCTAGTGTTGTTAGAGGGTTCACCATGGTAAGCCTTGGCTTTTTGTCCGTTCACCTTAAGCTCATTTCAAGTTTGTTTATTTAAGAGAACCAAATCCCCATAAGGATAGATTTTCAAAAGTTTAAAGGGACATGGCCATATTAACTTCAATTTTCCTGAAAATAGTTTTAACCTGGAATGGAACAAGAGTACTTTTTGTCCTTCCACTAACTCCTTTTTCTGGAACTTCCAGTCGTGCCATTTTTTGATTTTCTCCTTGTATAGTTCAACATTCTCATAGGAGAATACTTTGTGTTCTTCTAACTCATTAAGTTGCAACATTCTTGCTTGCCCAACAGATGGCAAGTTGACATTCAATCTTTTCATAGCCCAAAAAGCCTTATATTCCAATTCAATTAGTAAGTGACAATCCTTTTCATACACAAGCTTGTAGGGAGATTGTCATACCCCAAATTTTA